ATATACTATAACTATCTTTTCATTATTATATCCTGACCAAAAAAATAGAAAAAAAGTTTTAATATTATTCTAAAGAGTAAATATAAACTATATAGAAAGAGATTTTCTATATTTACTAACTACTATATAAAAAATTTTTAAATTTGATAATAGAAAAAAAATATCAAAATTTTTTTAAATTATAGTAATTTATATAATTATATAAACTGAATTATAAAAATTTTATTAAGTATAATTACTTGATAACTTTATTATTTTATATGATATTTATATATATTAATTAATTGATTAGTTCTTATCAATAAAAAATGAATTATTTTATAAATTATAGCTCAATTCATATATTTTTATTTAAACTTTTATTATATTAATAGTTATTAAATGATTTTAATTTTAATTTTATAAAAATATTATCTGATTGTAAAAAATAATTATATTTTATAAAAAATATAAATAAAATATCTCTTTACTATTAGTTGTTATTATTATTATTATTCTTTATTTAATATATATTCTGTTAGTAATTATAATATTTATTTAATTAAATTATAATATAACTATTTTATTAATTTAATTAATAAATAATAATTAAATTATATAGTTAAAAATTTATATTTTAAAATAATATAATATTTAATAAATTTTTAATAAAAAATATATTTATAGTTTTAGTTTTAATTCAATTTCTTTTTTAACTTAAATAAAATAAATAATAAATTAAATTAAATTAAATTAAATTAATATAAAAAAAATCTAAATAAAAGTTTTATAAAAAATATATTTTTAATTTTTATAAATTAAATACTAAAATTCATTTAATATTAAATTCTATTCTCTAAAAATAATTTATATATTTTTTATAAACTTAATTAAAAACTTTTTTTCTAATTCAATATATATTAAATAAAAAAATTATATTTAATTGATTAGTTAAATATTATTCTATTAATTTTTTTATTGCATTATTTAATAAGCAATTCTTTAGTATATAATTTGAATTTTTAACTATATTATAGAAATCATATCTATTAAAGTTCAAAAAATTTAAAAATATTTTTATATATAATTTCAAATAGTCATATTCAAGTTATAATTATATTATAATGAAAAATATTTTATTTTTACACTTTATTAATATAGATTTTCACTTTAATTTTATTTTACATTTTATATATATGGTGCTTTTTTTTAAATTTTTATTTATTTATTAAAATATAATTCTTTAATCTTTCTTTAAATATATAATTAGAATATAATTCTTTAAGTTATTTTTTAATTTTTAGTTTTAATTTTTACTATTAAATTTTTTTTCTTAATTTCTAAAATATCTATATAAGTAAATATTTAATATAAATAAATTTGAATATTTTTATTCTTAATTTTAATTCTTTTCACTATAAATTAATTTAAAATTTATTTAATTACTTCAAATTTCATATTTTTAAAGTCTTTTCAATATTGTTTAACTATTTAAAAATATTTAAATATTATCAATATTTACTTTTTAAGAGATTATTTTATAAGCTATTTTAAATGCCTTCTGAATTATAAGTAATTTAATATTATAAACTTTATATTTTTTTTTTAGATTTTATAAAAACATCTTATATTCTGAATTTAATTTAAAATATTTAACTGCTATATCAGCTCTTAACTGTTTTTATTTACTTTTTAAATTATTTAAGTATATCAGTAATGAGTTTTTTTATTTATCTGTATAAGTTTTCAGATATATACAGTTTTTCCCTCTTCTTTTGATAGTTTATTCATAGTGATATCTATTAATGAATTTAGATTTTTCTTTTAAAATTAAAGATTATTGTGATTTATATTTTCTATATTTATACTTCATAGTTGATCTTTAATCACATCATATATTCTATATAACTGAGAAAATAATATCTTATTTCAGTTGCAGATATGTTTTAAAGTACTTGAAAAGTAGTTGACAAATAAATACTATAGATGATTATAAAAAGAAACTATTTTGATAATGTTTTTACCATCTGACCTCTCTTTATACATGCATCCTTGATTTGAATGTGTAGTCACGTGTGGAGGTCAGCCAAGCCTTTTAGCGAAGTCGTTCGATCTGTATGCTCTCTCTGATATGAATGTGCAGTCAGGTTGGGGAAGGTCAGACTAGCCATTTAGCGAGGTCGACTGATCTGTATGCTCTGCCTGCTTTGGGCCAGGTGCCTCACTTTGCTTACTTCATCCAGCTGAGTGGTAACTAAAGTTGAACTTGTACCGATCATACCCTTTCACCTTCGACTCGATATATCTCTGAAAACAATCTCGGTGCCTGTTGGACACTCTTGTATCGCTCTCTATCCACCTCCAACCACTTATCCCGTCCTTTGGCCTTCTTGTTAGAGCAAATTTGTTTCTTGACTTCTTACCGGCTCAGCTCCATATTCCCTACTAACGTAAACATGGATAGAATCAAGGAGGTCAGTTCCTCCTCCACTACAGCGGGGTAGCCATGGGTCTTACCAGAGCTTCCCTTTGCTTTTGTTTACGACAAATATGCCACTAATTTACCCGCTGGTGTACCCAATTTATGTGCTATTTATTTATCAGTATGTTTCATTTTTGCAATAGTATGGTACTGATGCTACATATTGTTTTCTTTACATCTAGAAAATGAACACCCTACGCCTTGAAGCCGACGAGGCCCAGGCCAAGGTCCAGGAGCTGCAGATCAAAGTGAAGAGTCTCGAACAGGAAAACCTGGCAAAGGAGCAGGAAATCAAATCACTCTCCCACCGCAACCAGCTGCTAGAGGCCGATGTCGAGAAACTTGAGTGTGATCTGAAGGAAGCCAAGTCTGCCGCCTCTGAGAACGCTCAACACGGTACGCAGAACGAGTCCCTGCAAAGGCGTGTGCAGCTTCTCGAGGAAGAGGCTGAGGAAACTGATAAGACTCTGCGTGAAACAAATGAGAAGTATGTTCCTTTTTATCTGTCTCTTTGTCCTTTCTTACATTTATATTAGTCATTATAAACACCCTTTTTCTAACCACTCTGCCATAGGCTCCGCCAAACTGACGTCAAAGCTGGACACTATGAGCGGAAGGTCCAGGCACTTGAGACTTCCCGGGACCAATGGGAGACCAAGTACGAGGAGATGGCCAAGAAATACGCCGATTTGCAGAGAGAACTGCAGGAGCTGGAGACGTCAATGGGCAACGTGTAAGGGTGGCAATAAGGTTGTCTTCATAACTATTATTGCCAACAAGAGTATTTTCTTTTCCCTGTCCTGTGCATTGTTGTACGTGTTTGAGAGATTATGAGATCTCCTCCGTCCTTGGTGCCAGCGATATTATCCATTTGCCATCCCCCCCGCCTTAAAATGTTAAACAACCACCAAATACATAGCTCCGCTGGGGGAGCCGTTGCCCTGCCACTTTTTGCGTGTGTCTGTCCGGCTGAGTGTTTGCCTCTGGCCCATTTTTTATTATTCCCCCGTATTCCAGTCATTATTATTATTATTATTATTATTATTAATTTGACTGGTACATAGAGCTTTTGATGAGATTGAATTGTTGCTCCATTGAACACACATACATCCATCAACTTGCCAACCAAAGCTGTCAAGTCGATCAAACCCAT